CGTCGAACTTCTGACTTTTCAGAAATCGAAAGTTCGAAACTTTTCGAATTCTCTTGATCAATAAGTTCGAAATTCATCGACTTTTTGGTCAGTCAAGTTCGAAAGTTCGACAACCATCGAACCTTGCAGCGCAATAAGTTCGAAAGTTCGAAAAATATCGAATTTTATAGCGTAATAAGTTCTACGGTTCGAAAAGCGTCGAACTTCTTAACTTAACAAGTTCGAAAATTCGACCTCTGTCAAATTTTTACGATATAGACAATTCGAAAAATCGAAATCTTTCGAACCTTTCGATCCGCTTGATTCGATCATCGTAACTTCGATTCGATAAAAAGTTCGCGGCATCCCTAATCTCAACACTCCCCCCTCCCCCCCTTGCGCGGATGACAATTTTATCATCCGCATCCGATCCGCATCCGAATTGCATCCGCAAAAATTGTGGACCGCATCCGACCCTGCCAATCCTTGCATTCATTCTACATCATGAAATCAAGCGTGAATAGCAGATACAAAAAGCATCTGAAAAGTGTGGAGCACTGTTTACCCCCTTTTCCCGTATCTCAACACTCCCCCCCCTTGCGCGGATGACAGTTTGATCATCCGTATCCGATCTGCATCCGCAGACTTTGTTAGCGCATCCGAACCACATCCGCAAAATTCAGAACAGCATCCGACCCACATTCCATGGCAGAATACGGTGAAAGTCATTTCATTGTATCCTGTTTTATCGTATATCTAAAATAAGCGATCATCCTTCCGGAGTCACTCAGCCTCGCTGGAATTGGAAATATGATCGCAGATATAAGACCGTCTTGGGATCCGTGACACTGACTCTCTGTTCATAAGATGCACACTCAAAAGGAAGGAAATTTTAATATTCGTATTTTACTTCGTAAAATTTACTTTAATCAGACGCATATTTTATAAACGTGAAATTGAACAAAGGACAAGCTAATAACATTGTGTCATTTTATTTAGGCCAGACCATAAAAAAGTGGGAGAGGAAAGGCGTTCACTCACCACAGCAAAACACTTGTGTATACCTGGTAAGGCGCGAGTACACCACTGGGAAAATATCACAGTATCTAATACTGGCAAAACCTCCTATCGATTTCAGTTATTAACACGAACCCTCAACTGCGTGCTCGGAAACATATGCCTAAAAACCACCCAGTGCCAACTGTCGAAAAAAAGGAAACTCGCACACACGGAACGTTTCACTTGTCGAGGTTGCTGTGTAGAAACGAAACAGAATATCGTAGACATGGACGGATGCAGACTGGATCACCTCTCTTAAATTAATTCCCGCTCATGAGAAGTACCTCTGCGTTGGTGCAGTTGATGCTGGGATGGCAAGCACTAACTGCGCTACAAGAATGAGGTGCGGAAACTCGTGATGGCACAAGTACAACCACACCAAAGAGTCGAATTCAATCTTCTCGATCTATACTTGTCGGCTAAGAAGCCACTTGCAGGCTTCTACTTTCTTGTCGCTTGTAAGTTTTGGGTTTTCTTTGCCCAAAGAACGTTATCCGCTCCTCTGTGAAACAAGAACACGCTTTCCGGGGACGACTGATACTCCTGCATTTTTTACTTTTCTTATGGACAATATTTTGGCGAGATAGAAGGTTCTAAAATGACCTTTGGTGGAAATCAAATCTTTCTTGGCGTAAAAAATAAATCTATCCCCGATTGGCACCTTTTATCTAAGAGAGCAGTTGCCCCCGCAATACATTCGATGATGCACTTTTTTTATTTATTTATTTTCAAGATACTGCAGGCCCAAGCAGGAGTGGATGCGGTTTCTCTTCACATGATACCCAGAATTTATACATAAAAAGAAGAGGAGGGGCGATTAAAAAACACACAAACCGCATAAAACACAAATAACACTTAAAAAGCGTGTTCAATTGATCGTAGAAGTGAAAATACGGGGAGGCAAGGAGTTCCTATCTGTTACACGTCTGGGTAAAACTGAGTATTCAAAAGCATTTGTGCGAGAGAATATGGGAGTTATTTTTTGCCTATGGTCATGTCTAGTTTGTCTAGTAGATGATGGCTGAATGTAGGATGACGAGTCAAGAAGTTTGTGATACCAAAGCTGAAAAATGAATTTTAATCTGGCTAGCTCTCTGCGGGATTCCAGAGAGATGATGTTGTTAGTTCTAATTAATTCGGCAGGAGAGTCATGCCGGCGATAACGATTAAGTATAAAACGAACTGCTGGTCTCTGGACTTGCTCAAGTCTGTTAATGTCTTTCTTCGTAAAAGGATCCCATACAGTGTAGCAATAAGTGAGTGATAATTTATAGTATCACTCACTTATTCACTCTACACTCTGCGGTCTCACACGTTTATGTGCCGCCTCGGCAAAAAATGTAAATCCGGACCCACGAATATCCGCGTCCGATCCGCAATCCGCCAAATCTTTTTTATCTGCATCCGCCAGTTTAGTGAGGATATCCGCGGATGATCTGCGTTGTCCTTTGAATTGTAACTTTGCCTTAGAAAGCACTCTCAGCATGCTCCTTCGAACTAGGGTAATTTATCAAAAGGTTCATCAGCCGGCCTATTCAGCGGAAGTGCAAAAATAATTTACTTGCCTTTAATTACATACTAGCAGCTTACGCGGTCGTACTTTTTTAAACTTGCCGCTTCGAGCCCCGCGTGAGAAGCTGCTGCCATCTAGGAACGATATGACACAACGCCTAAGAGAAACATCCGCGTTTCATTCTTCCCGCGTCAGCTCCTCACTCGCCAAGTTCACGGATTCCCTCGCCACTACGGAGCTTCGAGCTCTTTCAGCGTATTTCACGGACTCTGGCAATAACCGCAGATTCGTTGAGAGTGTGTACGGAATTACGGAGGACTTGGCGGACTTCCCGTTCGCGTACAAACTTGTTGGCCCCACTTCAGCGACTTGTTCGTTCCCTCGCCACAGCTGACAGGGAAAGGAGAAAAGCGAGAGAGAGTGAAAAGGCAACCCTCGCTCTAGCTCTGAGGTGTTCGTTGGTTCGTTCCGTAAATGCGGCTCGTCGGTGGCTAGGAAGCAGCGGCGGCAGGCAACCTCGGAAAGAGACAGCCACTTTCGAAAACGCGTTTTCCCTTCCCAGGGCGTGGTACGTCGCGCGCAGCAAGATCCGACAACTATTCGGCTACGCACGCAGCGTGCCGGAGTGTCTTCGGCAGACCGGCAGTGAACCAGACAGTGTTCCGCCCTCCCTGGATTCACAGGAATCTTCAGGATCGTGTATCGTGCCCGTGTTTGTTGTGAGCTCGGCTGTGAAGTAGACGTGGTCGGTGTTGGGGTGGGCCGATGGCCATCACGGTGACGGAGAGGTCCGAAGGGCCGACCAATGGTCAGATACCCGGCACGGACAGCTCGCCTTTGCAGCAGCAGGTCAGTCCTCCTTTCTCAATGTTGTCTTCTACTAACGTTCTTGCTGGCGGTGAGCTTAGTCGGCGCAGTGACACGTGCGCGCTTTTAAAATGAACACATGTCGACGCGCCGCGCGGAACACACATACAGACTGACCTTGAGTCCCAACGCTTCCGAAAGCTTGACATTTTGTATTTTTTTCTTGTTCTTTTTTATCTAGCGCAATAATGAAAAATTATATTCCCGTTCACACTTAATTTGCAACGCTGTCAAAGCTGCTGGCGCGAGCATGGGGCTTCATCTCGTTGATCATTTGCACGCGTTCTGGCGTAAACGAAACCATAGATGAAGTCACGCGCTCGCTCAGTAGCTTTGACAGCATTGCTTGTTAAAAGAAAAAAAAAAAAAAAAAAAGAAAACAAGCTATTCCTTTTCAGTCCTCGACGAACTGTCTAAACTTTGGTCGTGCTCAAACTACGAATTTGCCCTGAAGAGGGGTCTAATTGTGCTGGCGCGCTCATAAATGCATTCGACAGGTGCTATCTTTTCGAGATATTGCATAAGCATGACAAGCTACGTCCAATGCCGGCAGCTTTCTTTTTTGCCTTTGGACAAATAATAATCGCGGACCTTGAATTTCTTGGAGTTCGATACAGAGTTGTTAAAGGTTCTCAAGTTGCGCTCGCACAACGATCAGAGCTGCGCAGGTGCTTTTCACGCTCTTGCATTACCTCGTAAAGTTGCCGAGTTCTTTCTCAGCTCAGAAGTCAACGGCACTGCACTATGTAAACTGACCCTCTACTGGGGAGACGCAATTAAAAGCCGCTCTATATCTGACAGGAGACAGATTTCCGGATTTATTACGATATTTTTCATTTTCTTGTTTATACTAGGCTCGTGTCGTTCAAAATGTGGAGCTGTCAGATGCAACCTTTGTAGCCGGAACACATGTAAGAGTGGAAGAGACGGTGCGGCGCGCGGACTTCCGTGACCCTCCGTGCGGTCGTGCCGGCCATTGTTGAGGTCCCCCCATCCGCGGTCCGCGGCCCACACTTTTCCCGTCGGGCGCGGACGTTGACTCGCGTTTCCAGCGGCATTCTTTTGCTCTTTTGTTTTCCCGGGGGGGAACAGCCCAGGGCAGGAAGCAGCGGGATTGGAATTGCTCACGCACTTTCTGTCTTCTCTTTTTGTGCATCGTTCTTGTGGCTTCGGCGTTAGGCCAGTTGAGCTCGCAAACAGCTGTACAGCTCATCAGTTACAGAATCGGGACGCGCACACTTTTAATGGGACCTTTTGACGAGGAAGCTTCCTTTCGATGAAAATTTACCGAAAGAAAATTCCGTGGTGTTTCGATAAAACGAGCGAAATTCTCTCGTAAGTCAGCGGGGAGTAGATTCTTATATCATCGTCTAGCGTGAGCTTTCTGCCTTAGATAACTACTTCGTTGAATGCGCGGCCAAAGCTCGGCAGAGAACAACGAGCTGCGTGCTAAAGGCGGAGCTACACCTGGGCTGGCTTGCTAGAACGGTGTCACAGCTCAAGCAGGGCGAAATAAAGCACTGCAAAGGCTAGGGCGCGCGAGCGTCTCGAGACACGGTTGGAGTCCCGCTCAGCTCGTGCGCTGGCTTTGGCAGTGCTTTCCTTCTGCTGTTTCTTAAAAGCCGCGGCCCTGAATCTTTAACCTGCCACCGACTACAAAGTGTCTAAAGAAAAAATCGTATAATTTTCAAGGACAACAGAAGCTTGCATCATTCCGAACAGCGACGAAGTTCAAGCGGAGCGTATAACAATAGAATATATTCAAGTAGGAATGGCGACATCATGACGGTACGGCGCGAGCGGCTGCGATTCGCACCTGTACTCATTCAAGTGCGCGAGTGCCGCTCGGCGTTCGAATCCTCACGGCCCAAGCTGTGTGTGTGTGATCTACGACCCCGAGCTGTGTTCAGCTGACACGCACTTAATTTACGCCAGGGCTCCTCCGGTAGCAGAGCGAGACCTAGCTCGGCGAACTCAAGGTCGTAGCAGTCTGGCGGAATACGCGTGCTGGGACGGTGCCAGATTTGTGCCGTTATGCACCCATTGTTTCCACTAAATTGTGTCCATCGCGAGTATCATGTGACTAGGAGGTACGATTCCGGGTTATAAATCGGCGCTTATCGGTTTTTATTTTACGTGGTCGAAATTCGAGCCAGATTGACGGCGGAACAAAGAGGGCTGCAAACAAGAAAGCAACGGTGCACACAAAGGTGAACAGAATTGAATATAGAAGATGCTTATTTTGTTGTACGACCCTACCTGATTACATATCCTCTTTAGAATTGACTTCAGCGTTTCCTCGGTGCCTTCATTCCTACGAAACCTGACAGTGTTTTCTAAGGTATCAAATATGGACTCGGTAAAAACGCCAAATGAATTACCTTTTTGGTGAGCAAAGCCAACCCGTCAAGAAATGTATTCGACGAATATTTATCTTCTTTTTTTTTTTCGGGAAGACAACGGGAGACCTACAACTGGAATCTGTTTAGCATCGTTCTCTCGTTTCCGCTATGAGCGTTCGGGAGAGGGGAAGCCGCTGACAAGACGAAGGGCGAAACAAGTCACGAATGACAATAGCAGTCCTTCAGGTACCGTTTTTGATCTTAGCTATCAGTTGGTCACTGGAAATCTCTCATAACTATCACACGTGAACCATCAAAAACATACTGGCTGAATAGTAAAATACTTAGCTCAAAAACGGTACAAAAATATATATGTATATATTCATGATGATACGAGAATATGTACAGAATGACGCCGGAAGTACATCCAAGATCGCCGACGCCAACCGTCTGCTTCGTCCATTCTTTCTATGGCTTGGCTGGGCCTTTCAATGGCAGCTGCAAGCTGCAGCCATTGTCCAAGCAGGAGTCGGCCGGATGTAACGATGGGGTCCTTCGACCCCCTCCGATCAAGAGACCGCCCCCTAACAGCTGCCTCGTGATTCGGCTGTCGATGTCCCCGACTTCGGAAGAACATTGACAGGTTTACCCCTGGCTGCCTTCGAACTCCAAACCTTTCAGACATAGGTGGCGCACTAAGCTTTACGAATAAGTCAGCCGTGCTGCGAGCGATCTGATGATTCAGATGGTTCATGCAGTCTGTCTGAGGCATGTTTCTTCCTTGTGTGACGGTACGAAAACTGCCTGTTCGACGCCTACACATGTATTAAGAAAACGTACTTCGATCATGTTTGAAGCCCCTCCGCACATAATCCTGTCACCGTGTCCGCAGCGAACGCCGTGTCTTTTGTATCGTGTATGAGCAGTGTGACCCGGCCTTTAGACTTTCAGAACATCATCGAATGTGCGTCCTGGCCGAGCAGGGGGAGGGAGGACCTCTATATCGTTGTGTTTCATGAAAGCGGACAAATGGACGACGACCCTCTTTAGTGATGGTTTTATCCATGCTCTGATCTCTTGGTCTGACCTCGTCGCTCTAATAGCACATCTAAGCTTTTGTGCGTAGTCACGGACAGCTGAAGAAACGCGGGGCGTAGCTTGTTTGAATTTCCACTTCTTGATTCGTTCGTCGGCTGGGACCGCATACCAGCGCCCGGTCATTGGCCGAAGAGGCTCTGCGAGGAGCGCGCGATATTTGGCTGCCGACCAATATTCCGTCTTCCGCAGCACTGATCGTGCGCAAAAGCTACGGCGGGGACGCGGGGAGCGACCGCCCGCCCCTGTGGCCTTGTCGTTACGGAGCGGCGGGGGGTCCGAGCGAGCGCACACAGTCGGGTGGGGGTTCCCATTGTTGTATAGGCAGCCCTAGTTTTCGCCCCGCGCCCGCTGTGTCCCGCTGGCAATGGAGTCGCGCCGGCGCAGCTCGGGAACTCCCCTGCCAGTCTGCGAGATCGCGGCGTGGGAAAACAAAAATGTTCGCGAGGCCTCTCTTCCCCCCCCCCCCCACCCCCCCTTTTCCAGTGCGCGCCCCCCAAAGGCATCGTCCTCCTCGTTTGCGAATGACAATCCAAAATGGTAGTCACAAATGCAGGGCGAGTTTTCGATACTGCACGTAGGCACCAGCTCGCTTTACAGGTTGCCTTTGGCCGGCACAAGTGGATCGGCGTGCTTGCTCCTTCAATGTACTTTCGTCACCGTTTTTCAATAAACCCTCCTGACATGAGGCGTTCTGTCTCCAAAATATAGCCCTTTTCACGACCCCTCTATCCAACCATGTCCAGAACCGAACTGCAGGCCCTAATTGCCGACATTACACGGAAACCTGCCAGAAATACGAACGTCTTCGTGAGCTCTTACACAGCGGACAGCGGAGAATTCAATACCCCGAAATCGGTCCCGGTATACTTTTATTCGCCCGAGCAGGAAAATCTCTTGACCAGCCAAAAATTCCACGAGACACGACACGCGCATTGAACTCGAGCTTTCTCTCCCTGCTTCCCGTGCGTACACTCTGTTGACCCCTAAGCTGACAGTGCAGTTGAAGTTACGTCCTCGCCGGACCAATTAGCCCCTTCCTTTCCTCATATAACCCCGCTCTCTCTGCGTGTTCATGGCGAAATCTGGGCATATGACTGGTGCAACGAGCGGGTAGTTTCAAACGCACTGTCAGCTAAGGGGTGAACGCAGCATAGGTACGATGTATTAGCTGCGGGACCGCGGCTTCAGGGATGAACGGAGTGTAGGTGCGCCGTCCCCCTTGCCTACCGCGCCGAGGCCGCGATGCTCGTCCCGTCGACCAGGAACCGGCAATCAGGTCCGGCACAACCTGAGCGTCACGCCTCCCAACGAGACGGGAAGAGAAAGCGGTCCTCCGTAAATAGCCCGGCCGTGTAACGAGTCTGGCGGCCACGTGCGTGCGGATACCTGCCCGCCGCGCCGACCGGTTTCTGAGCGGCTCTTTGATCCCGACCCAGATAGGGCGGCGGAGGCCGGCCGGCCACGCACCGCCCGCGCTCGGGACGTCCCGGAGACGTCCTCTCGACGGGAGGACCATGGCACCCCGCGGGGAACGCGAGTCCG